GGCTGAATTCTCATTTGAGACACCCCAAAGAAGCATCAAGAGGTTCTTGCCTTCTACAGCAATCATATCGACAACCATGCAATTTATGATCAATTCTCATTCAGTTTCTGTGTTCACCTTAGTCAAAATAAAATCAAATTCCAAAATACTATGCTTAAGAGGGTAGCTATATTTGTAAGTTGGTGATCCATCCCGATACACGTTTGTGTGAAGACTCACATTCTCTAAGTTAAACTTTTGCCTGCCGCATCTAATCTGCATCAAGTGCCTTTGCCTGTAACATATCTCAGGTGCACTGAGTGGTTTTGTAATTATACAGGAAGCTTCCAGGAAAGCAAATCTACCCTTGATCACGTAATTTATTATGTTTTTTAAACAGATCATCTCTCAGTAAGGTTCTTTTTTTCGTGGCTACTTTTAACTCCTTAGTAGTAAAATATCTGTAAATACTGTTAAATAAGTAGGCTTTACCATTAAAGCTTCTGACTGATTATTGAAAATTTCTGCTGAAATGGGGATCAGACCTTTTCAGTCTACAAGTTTAAACATTTGAGCCATATGCTTCTCTAATCAGAACACAGGATTTGAGTTAGAGTTTCTCATAGCACAGGAAAACAGGCCAACCCCAAAGAAACTTTGGATACATAGTATAAAATCTGTTGCCTTTTGCCAAGGTCAAAAATAATGAGACTCTCACCCTGTTTCAAGTAAAACCCTTGCTACTCATCCCCAAAGGTAAATGTATCTGCTACCTTTATGAGGAACAGTGATTAGCAGATTTTATTTTCATAGGAGTAAGATCTCAACTTCTGCCATCTGAAATACAGCATCAGTAAATTTAGACAAAGAGGAGCTACTTAATGACAAACAAACCATTCTCACATCTATTCTGATTTTGTAGGAATTGAAATCATACTAAAGAGTTGAAAACCATAAATTTTGGAACTGTAGGGTTCAATGTCGCATATATGGAAAAACACTTTATATCTCTATAAAATGTGGGACAAGTATGACAAGGTAATCATTTTTTCCACCTTGTCATAAAACTTTCAGAGACAGAGGATACTAATGAGAAAAGCATATTTCATCCTCCTCTTTCATCTTCTGTACTAGTAAGCGGCTGTAAACATTTATGTATTAAGGCTAGCTAATGTCAGGAGGAGGGACAGGTACCAGAAAGAAGAAATATGAAGAGAAATGAGTAAGACTAATACACAGGGGTCTCTTCAGCTTGAAATGGAAAGTAATTTTGGAAAGGAGAAGTAGTATACACATGCACAGTGTTTCCATGTCAAATTGTTCTGATTTCAATTGGATGTGTATTTTTATATCTAAATTTCCAGTTTCATGTCAGTTTGTGAAAACATGCACTTTTTATTAAAAAAAAAAAAAAAAAACCAAGCAAGCAACAATAAAAAACAATTTTGCTGGATATCTTTACATTAAAAAGGGTATCAAATTAAGGTTTATTATTATTCTTGTTTGTTAAGAAAAATCAGACACAATAGGATTTTGTGTGCTTTGCCATTATGTAGTCTACCTGCAACTCCAATCTGCAATTAATTTAGTTAGGATAAGCCAATATATTGCTGACACTTTCAGTTAGAAATCTATCCAAACGCTATTCATACAGACAATACTCAATCAAGTGTGCTCTCACATTCGGTCAAACTTCTTTCTGGGTCTCTGTTCCTGTGAGTGATTGAGAAATTAGGCATGTGAAATCGTTATTACTCACTGTACCTGCACCCATCTAGGAACATTTGAGACAAGACAGGCTATTTGAATCCATCTTCCTCAACAGTTAATTCCTAAAAAATAGTTGAATGTTCTACTGCAGTACAGAAGTGCATTCTATTCTGTATCTATCATTTAGGAATAAGCATTAAGATTTCACCCATCACAAAAATAAACTATTTGATATTTTACCATAGCATAAATTATGTCAGGCTTATACTGTGCATAAAAACAATAGGCAAAGGATGCATGGTGCAGTAAGCAATCAGTACCCTGCTACTATCAAGTAGCTTCCACTGCTCACAGGCTGATAGTTTCATAGGAAAGTGTAAAAAACCTGTTAAACTAATTTGCATGACCACATAACTGTTACCATTCTCCGTTTGGAAAATGTTGGCTTTTAAGGACTGATTTGGTAAACTCACTTCAGTATGTAAATACTCACCTGAATATGATCTCAAATACTTTAGGAATACCTTTTATTTCCATCTAAAGTACTATAACCTTTTATGCTCCATTTGAATTCAGGCTACTTTTATTTAGTGCTATGATCACTATCTCAAAAAAGAAATTATAATCAAGCCTCAAACCATTAAAGAGCACACACACACACAAAAAAAAAAAGGCTTGAGGATATTAATAGAGACATTCTAAGACATTCCTAAGTTACCATACAAGCAAATTTAATGTATTTGTTTGTAGCTCACATACGGGAAAAAAATCTGCAAAAAGCTATTTTTTTTCCATTACTACTATTGTCTAGTGTCAGTTCAAACCTAGAAGTTTTGAATTTTTACATAAAGCATACAGTGACATCAGAATTTACAAGAAGTTAAAAGATCAAAACATTAAAGCAACAATGAAACAAATGGAGCAATAAGAAGGGTTCTCTCCTGTCTTAACAGATGTCTAAAATCAAAGTTCCTAGTTATATATACGTGGCATGACATTCACCGTTATCCTCAAAACATGTATGGAGAATCTTCCTTTCCTAGACCTATCTCAATGGACAGGGTAAGTAAGCTTTAATAACATTATCTCAATGCACCTGAAAAGCCCTGTTAATTGTTACCAAAGCAGTCTAATCCATTAGAGGCAAGATTTTGGTGTTATTTAGAACAAGAAAATTGATGTAAGTGCAACATAAGGGTGTTAACTAACATACACAGGCAAACATTTAAGGGTCTATTGCACATGTGATAGTCAATGCAAAATGAACTTGAGCCCTGTGGTTAGCCCAATAGGCAGCACATAATACCACCATCCTGTATATTGTCATTCAGCCAAGGCCCAAGTATCATACAACTCAATTCATTAATGATGAGCTTACCTGAGCATAGAAGTCCTCTAGTTATCCCAATAAAGCATTGAGTGGAAGGTGACAACCACTGTTTCATATTAAGACCAGATTCAAATCTCACTATCAACAGTAAGATGATTTTCCCTTTCCCGTAGAAATTATCTATGTAGCTAAAGCATTTATTAGTATATGAAACAAAACAAACCTAAAATTTTAGTATTGAACTTTCTGTACTAGGACTCAAAATTGCATCCAGCTTGACTGCTGCACTGCCCAATCATCCTACCATTTGGCAGTTTTGGCTTTATTTAGATATATCTTCCTT